ACAACACAAAAGTAAATCAAACAATGAACAAACCATTGCTAAAATGACAGGACCAAATTACCACCTAATCATATTAACCCCAAATGTAAATGCCTTAAACCCATCAATCAAACATCATAGATTAGTAGACTCGATTAAAAAAACATCCTTGAGTTTCCTTCAGGAGGCATATCTCACCATAAAAGAACAACAGAAATTATATCCATGATTTTCATGTTCTGGTTTTATTTTCATTTCTTCAAAACAGTTTCTTTTCTCATAATGAATTCTTCACTGACACTTAAGTCATGCAGTAGCATCACTTATTTATTTATTTATGACAATCTCGACATAATTAGGGTAAAAAGGTTCAAGCACTACAGGAAGATGGGCAAGACAATTAGTTCCGTATTGTTTCCTTAATATATCTGATGTAAAAGGGGATTTTAAGGGAGAAGCCCCACCCAGTCTCCCACCCACCACAGTCCCCGATGTGGGGCATGCTCCGAGGGTCTTGCTCAAGTGGCTTTGATAGTTCAACAGTTCTGAATTGCTGCCACTCTCACTACAATGCACAATGCGGTCATTGGAGAATCCACTGATCAACAGTCCACCTTAGAGTCGCCGTTTGCCCAGTATTTTCATTGCCAACATATAGCTGAGGTGGTTGATTGACTTATTCTGTCCTCTGTCTTTTGATGGTTAGCGTTCTGAGTCCAAAAGCTCGATTGGGGGGGATCCCCAAAGAAACTTTGTCTGAGGTGTTCCCAAACCAGATTCTTGTATGTACTAGCAAACACAGGGCCCGGCACAGTCCATCGCCCTGATCAGTTGGTGGCTGCAGTTGCTGGGTTGGTTCTGTTTCTATCCTTGTCTTCCACTAGAACCAATGGGTGTTCCAGCCTGGTTCTGCCCAGCACATACTCGGCCCTCACATAAACCAGTGGGAGCTGCAGCCTAGTCGGAGCGACCCACAATAACCCCAACCAGGCCCGCCCCTACCCTGGTTTGCCAGTATGTGTGGCAGACTAGTCCAGTCTGTCCCACATCCCCTTCTGCTCTCATACATGTCAATGGGTATTAAACCTTGTTCCATCTAACCAGTTCAACTATTCAGCCTTTATGGATGTTGTTGGGTGCCTCTCTGTCTAACCACCCCAACCCCTGTCCTAGTTTTCTTGCCCTCCCGTGGGGGGTGGTAACCTAAGAGGGAGGAGCCCACTATGTCCCTCTCAGGACACTCCCACTCCCACTCTCCAGGTGGTTCTGTGGTTTAACTTGACAGAACTGGTCCCCAGTGCCAGCTTCTGCCAGCTGAAGTAGCATCGCTTCTTCAAGAAGGTTCTTGCTTTTATTTCTTCAATGACACATTATTCATTCAGTAGTATGTTATTTAACTTCATGTTGTTATAAATTTCTATTTTTCTTCCTGTTGCTGATTTTGTATTGTGCTTTTCATTTATGGGGATGTATAGTAACTGTGTAATAGAGACTGTCATATCCAGATGTGAGGATGCAATGCAGTATGCATCTCTACTTCCAGATCAAGGATGGACTCCTAATGAAACTGTTAACTATATCTTGACAATAGGATGCTGGACTGTCTGTCCTTGTCCATGCCTGCAATGATGGCTATGAGTGTTTATGAAGAACTATACTATAGTAATAATATAGGGGAAATCAGGGGAGGAGGGGATTTGGCAAGGTTGCAAGGGAAATCCCAGAGCCAATGGAACTGTGTCACAAAATAATAATTTTTAAAAAAGGTAAATAAAGCCTCAGACAAAAAAGAATTGCCAAAAACAAGAAATCAAACATGAGATATGGTCTGGTGTTTGATATAATGTGACTGGCTTTTGACATATAGTAGGTGAGAGGCCTTTAAGACATGTACATTTCGGAATGTACAACTTAAGACACACCTGAGGCTATATCACATCTCTGAGGCAAGCCACATAGCACAGGTAGCCGTCCATGTTACTGATGGTGGCAGCCACAAGCACGGCTGAAATCAGCAGCAGCCAGTGTGAAGCACGAGCATAGCAATGTGGGCCAGCATTGGAAGGCAGCTGAGAGAGCACCAGAGAAAAGAGGACCAGGTTAGCATGGGCCCCAAAAGAAACCAAAATGAAAGCTTCACTCTTAAAAAAAAGTATGTGTTTTTAGTTGAAGGGCAGATTTACAGAAAGAAGGAGAAACAGGAAGATGGTTCCATCTGCTAGTTCATTCTCCAAATGGCTCCAAAGGCCAGAGCTGAGCCAATCTGAAGCCAACAGCCAGGACCTTCTTCCAGGTCTCCCATGTGGGTTCAGGGCACCAAGGTTGTGGGCTATTCTTGACTGCTTTCCCAGGCCACAAGCTGGATGGAAAGTGGAGTAACTAGATGAAAATTGGTGCTCATATGGTATCCTAGCACTTGCAAGTGGAGAATTAGCCACTTGAGTCATTGTGCTGCCCCAACGCCTCCCACCCCTGGCAGTTTTTATTTATTTATTTATTCATTTTTAAAGATTTATTTGAAAGGCAGAGTGAGGGTGAAGGAGGGAGAGAAAAAGGTAGATCTTCTACTTGTTGGTTCACTTCCAAGTTTCAATAGCTTGTGCTTATCTAGGCCAAAGCCGGGAGCCCAGAACCTTATCTGTGCCTCCATGTTGGTTGAGGGACCCAAAGCTCAGGCCATCTTTCGCTGTGTTCCTAGGCATATCTGCAGGGAAACTGATCAAAAGTGCAGCAACTGGGACTTGAACCTGAACTCACAAGGGATGCCAGTGTTACAGACAGTGGCTTAAGCCACCACAGAACAAGCTACTCAGTTCATTCAAATCATATATGCCTCTAGCAATACTTTAAAAAAAATTTATAAAACTGAAAACAGATTTACAGAGAGAGAGAGAGACAGGAAAGGTCTTTCATCTGCTGGGATACTGCCCAAGTGGCCGTAATGGCTGGAGCTGAGCTGATCTGATGCCAGTTGCTTCTTCCAGGTCTCCCATTTAGGTGCAGGGTCCCAAAGCTTTAGGTCATTCTCCACTGCCTTCCCAGGCCAAAAGCAGTGAGCTGGATGGGATGGGAAGTGAAGCAGCCAGGACACTAATCACTTGAAGGGGAGGTTTAGCCAATTGAGTTATTGCTAGAGATACATTTTTCAATTATCTCTAGCAGGTTCTTCACCTAACTCAACTATTTAACAGGATATTTTAAAAACCAGCAATGCTCACTTCTGGAACTTGTGTTAACTAAAGATACAGTTTGCAAGAAAAGGGAAACTGACACTCAGTTATATCCAGCACTGCATCCCTGGGTATAGTGCTGCACCTAGCCAGGTCTATTTCTCATTCATTATAAAATGACACAAGCCACCTACTACTATCTAATTGAATTCTGAACTCAAAAGTGTGAGTGCTGAGACTGGGGATAGACCAGGCTAGGCTACCACACCTGTTAGCCTACATGTGAACTGGGTTGCAGGAGAGCCACGCTGGGCTAGCCAACACAGTTAGGGATAAGATTAGCTGCACGTTTTTGTTTTCTTTCCTTTTTAAAGACTTAGTCACTTTTATTGGAAAGTCAGATTTACAAAGAGAGATAGAGAAATATTTTCCATTCACTGGTTCACTCCTCAAATGGCTGCAAATGGCCAAAAATAAGCCAATTCGAAGCCAGTAGCCAGGGGCCAGGAGCTTCTTCCAGGTCTCCCCTATGGGTGCAGGGTCCCAAGGTTTTGGGCTGTCCTCCACTGCTTTCCCAGGCCATAAGCAAGGAGCTGGATGGGAAGTGGAGTAGCCAGGGCATGAACAAGCTCCCAAATGGGATCCTGGCACACACAATGTGAGAACTTTAGCCACTAGGCTGCTATGCTGGGACCTAGATGCAGCTTTGTCTATAAGTCTAGATTTTAATATTTTAAAAAGCAAGATCGATTTTCTCAGTAATGTTTTGCTTTCTTGTTCCACTTAGAATGTTTTTCATAAAATCCTATGAAGGTACTTAAACTTTTAAAATATGGCCCCACAGCTGGTATTGCAGTCTTGCAAGAAAAGTTGCCACACGTGGCACCGGCATCCCATATGGCCACAGTTTGGTTTCAGTCACTCCACCTTCCATCCAGCTTCCTGCTATAGTGCTTTAGAAAGCATTGGAAAATAGATCAGGTGTTTGGGCTCCTGCACCCACATGAACATCTAGAAGAAGCTCCTTGCTCCTGGTTTCAGTCCAACCCAGGTCTTGCCATTGTAGCTATATGGGGAATGATCCAGTGGACGGAAGATCTCGGTATCTCCTTCTCTGTTACTTGGCCTTTCAAATAAATACACTTTTTTTTTTTTTTTTAAAGTTAAAAATAACACCCACTGGCAGATCTGAGAACCAGGATGGGTGCAGGACAGGCCAAGAGCCAAGAACTTCTTTCTGGCTCTCCCATGTGGGTGCAGGGTCCCAAGGCTTTGGGCTATTCTCGAATGCTTTCCTAGGCCACAAGCAGGGAGCTGGATGGGAAGTGGAGCAGATGGGGCTAGAACCGGCGCCCATATGGGATTCTTGTGCATTCAAGGCAAGGAGCTTAACCATTACGTTATCGCGTTGGACCCCCAGAATCCACTTTTCTTTTCTTTTCTTTTTTTAAAGATTTATTTATTTTTATCACAAAGTCAGATATACAGAGAGGAGGAGACATAGAGAGGAAGATCTTCCATCTGATGATTCACTCCCCAAGTGAGCCGCAATGGCTGGTGCTGTGCCGATCCGAAGCCGGGAACCAGGAACCTCTTCCAGGTCTCCCACGCGGGTGCAGGGTCCCAAAGCTTTGGGCCGTCCTTGACTGCTTTCCCAGGCCACAAGCAGGGAGCTGGATGGGAAGTGGAGCTGCTGGCATTAGAACCGGCGGTCATATGGGATCCCGGGGCGTTTAAGGCGAACCTTTAGCCACTAGGCCACGCCGCCAGGCCCCAGAACCCACTTTTCAAAGCTGATTGAGATAAATCACTGCTGTTCCTTATCACAAAAGTCCATGGCTTACACAATCATTTTTAATTTCTTTTATAAATTTTAATCTGATTCACATTCCTGATTCAATGGATCTAGCATGAAAGAATAAAAGTCTGGAGATTTAAACTGAAGGTTAATCTCTCTTTTTTCACATACTGGACATTTAATACCCTGTAGTTAATGTCCTCTTGAAGGCATAATCGTATAAATATTCACGCACATGCAACTTTATCACTCAATATGCTACAAATATTTGCACTGTATTTTGGTTTGTAGAACTTAAAGCAGATACCATCCTCACACCTACCCTTGTTCACTGTTCAGTATTACTATATGATAAGCACTGAATTATGAGGTGAGGCGGGCAGGCCTTCAGTGTCACGTGTGATGACAGTTGGGATACCTACCTCATACTGGAATACCTGGGGGGTTTAGGGCTCAGCTTCCTGCCAACGTGCGCCCTGGGAAGCAGGAGCCGAGTCCCTGTCACTCATGTGGGAGACCAGACTGAGTTCCTGTCTCGTGCTGTGGCCTAGTCTGGCTCTTGGCAGGCATCTGGGAGTAAACTAGTAGGTGGGAGCCCTGCTAGCCTCTCAAATAAAAACTAAGAATAAAACATGTACAAGTAGGGTTACATTAGATGGCTATTCTTCACAACATTCATGGGAAAATGGAATTTTAACATTGTTTTGGTGCACACAAAAGAGTTGAAACATGCATTTACAAGTGATCTGGAAATGTTCATGGAGAAAAACATCACAAAAAAGTAGACATTTTAAGAAACATTTCAAAATTCTTATCTTCAGTAAACTTACCTTTTAATAGAGAAATTAATGAAAAATCGTAAGGCATAGAGCCTTACAAATAATCAGGAACAGAAGATGTGCACTAACTGCAACATAAGATACGAGGGAGAGACAATAATAATTGTAGTCCCTAAAAGATAACGACATACAAGTGGCTCAATGTGATAGTTTATGTGTCCAAGTTAAATTCCAATTGCAGCTGTCACTGTGTAACCTTGTCCAAATTATTCAAGATCTTTCTACTAACAGGTATAGCTATGAACACCTACTTGACCACGGTTTGAGGATAACAGGTAACACACGCACAAAGCATCTGGCACACAACGGGCATTACTTCAGGTAATTATATGGTAAAAATAATTACAACTGAAAATAGGAGATGGCAGGGAATACTTTTCACGGACATATATTCAAATGTTAATATTATAAAGTAGTATTGAATAAATCATTTTATTTTCATGATCTATTTACACTGTACACTGTTGAAAAGCACCCTACAGGTTCACAGTACAACATATTAACTTTAAAAAATATATATTCCTTTATAAAAGGTTCAAATAGAACATTGGCATGTTAAATGTGACAAAAACTCTCAAAGTATGCCACCAGTTGTTTCAGTGAGAATGCTTCCCAATGTTGTCAATTTCACAATCACAGGTTTCTATTGAATTTTAAATACGTACAAATCTTAAATAAAAATGAATTCTGCAGTGGAAAGTTCTTGAGGCAATATGTTATTAGTTCGTTAACATATTGAGATGCTTTGTCATAATAATCCACAATATCAAGTTAATAAGCCCAAAGTCACACTGGAACAAGTTTAACAGTCCAGAAGTCCTTGTCAATTGTTGGTTTCTACTTTTTCTTCTTCGTTGATTCTCCTGGTTCTACTTTGCGCTTTTTAGAAGTATGTTCATCTTTTTCATCATCTTTAAATGGGAAAGGACAAATATTAATAAGTAATAACATAGCACTAAAATTTAATTGTCTTTATTACCCAATCAATCACCCTTATCAACTGTTTCTTTTAAAACTTCCCTATAAAAAACCAAAAACTAACTTTTAGAGCTCTGATGTTAAGTGCAAATTGTTTTTCAATTATAGTGATACAAAAACCCAGGTGACCCTGTAGTGTCATGTTCAGGTAGCTTACAAAAACAAGTGATTTCATTTCCATAAGAATTATTCTGAAAAGGGGTCCAGCACAGTGGCCTAGCGGCTGAAGTCCTCATCTTGAGCATGCCTGGATCCCATATGGGCACCGCTTCTAATCCTGGCAGTCCTGCTTCCCATCCAGCTCCCTGCTTGTGGCCTGGGAAAGCAGTCGAGGACAGCCCAAAGCCTTGGGACTGCACCTGCATGGGAGACCTGAAAGAAATTTCTGGCTCCTGGCTTCAGATTGGCACAGCTCTGGCCATTGTGGTCCCTCGGGGAGTGAATCATTGGATGGAAGATCTTCCCTTCTGTCTCTTCTCTCTGTATATCTGACTTTGTGATAAAAATAAAACTCATTTAAAAAAATGTATTTATTTATTTTTATTGGAAAGGCAGATATACAGACAGGAGCAGAGACAGAGAGGAAGATCTTCTGTCCAATGATTCACTCCTCAAGTGAGCACAATGGCCAGAGCTGTGCCAATCTGAAGCCAGGAGCCAGAAATTTCTTTCAGGTCTCCCACGCAGGTGCAGTCCCAAGGCATTGGGCTGTCCTCGACTGCTTTCCCAGGCCACAAGCAGGGAGCTGGATGGGAAGCAGGGCTGCCAGGATTAGAACCAGCGGCCATATGGGATCCTGGCGCGTTCAAGATGAGGACTTTAACCACTACGCTATCGTGCCAGGCCCAAAAATAAAAAAAATCTTAAGAAAAAAAAAAAAAGAATTACTCTGAAAAGGACAATCCCAAATTATCTACAGTATATACATCATGGATATTTAAATATGATCTAAATTTTGCAAAAATGGACCATGTTGCTTTCTTAGAAAAAAAAAAAATCTACCATGACATATTTAGGTAACAACAAACCTTTCATCCGCCAAACAACCTTTCTTTCTCATTTTTAACAGAGTCCCCAATCTTCATTCCAAAGTTAAAAAGCACACAGACTAGGCTGCCTGCTTTTACTCTGTGGTGTTAGCGCCTGCTCACTCCTAAGAATCAGAACATTCAAACATTTGCTCTCCTCCACATGAGAAACAACAACAAGAACAAAGCTATAGATGGACTATGCAAGATTTTTATTTTCAAAAATATTTATTTTTATTGGAAAGGCAGATATACACAGAGAAGGAGATACAGAAAGATCTTCCATTTGCTGGTTCACTCCCCAAGTGGCCACAGTGGCTGGAGCTGAGTCGATCCGAAGCCAGGAGCTTCTTCCAGGTCTCCCATGGTGGTACACAGGCCCAAGGCTTTGGGCCGTCCTCTACTGCTTTCCCAGGACACAAGTGGAAAGCTGGAAGGGAAGTGAAGCAGAAAGGACAAGAACCGAACCAGCACACATATAGGATTCCAGCGCGTGCAAGACAAGGAATTTAGCCACTAGGCTACTGCACCAGGCTCAGAACTTTTCATTAAATGTGCCCTTTACAAAGTTCAAACAGTATTAGTGTTTAGAGCTGGTACAATGGCTCAATTGACCAATCCTCCTCCTGCAAGGACCAGTATCCCAAAGGCGCACCAGTTCATGTTCCAGCTGTTCCACTCGCAACCACCTTCCTTCCTGTGGCCTGGGAAAGTAGTAGAGGACAGCCCAGAGCCTTGGGACCCTGGCACTCCCATGGGACACCCAGAGAAAGCTACTTTAGATTGGCTCAACTCTGGCTGTTGTGACCATTTGGGAATGAATTAGCAGATACAAGATCTCTCCATCTCTCTGTCAATCTGCCTTCCCCCGCAAAAAAAATAAATCTTAAAAAATAAGTGTAAGGAAAATGTTGTCAAGCTGATAAAAGTGGACTGTTGTTCAATTTTTTTTAAAGATTTATTTTTTTATTTTTTTATTGGAAAGGCGGATATACAGAGAGGAGAGACAGAGAGGAAGATCTTCCGTCCGGTGTTTCACTCCCCCAGTGGCACCAACGGCTAGAGCTGAGCCAATCCAAAGCCAGGAGCCTCTTCCGGGTCTCCCACACGCGGGTGCAGGGTCCCAAAGCTTTGGGCCGTCCTCGACTGCTTTCCCGGGCCACAGGCAGGGAGCTGGATAGGAAAAGGGGCTGTCGGGATTAGAACCAGCACCCATATGGGATCCCAGGCGTGCAAGGCGAGGACCTTAACCACTACGCCATCGCGCCGAGCCCTGTTGTTCGATTTTTTAAAAATCCAATAAAAGTAGATACTGGTTGCTAATTCCCATCTCTTTAAACAAACATGGTATTGTTTTTAAAGTTCCTTAGACAAAATAAAAGCATGCAGAAATGTCATGATTTTTAAAATAAAAATTTAGTTTGGTTATAATAATATATTTATTGCTGCCTTTGAGCTTGTTTCCTTAACCAACAGATAGTCAGAATTCAATATCATATAATGATCTATAAAGCATTTTGATGTTTGAAAGGGCCTTTATATTAAAAAATAAATAAATAAAAAGGGTGCAGTGACCTAACTACTAAAGTCCTCACCTTCAATGCACCAGGATCCCATAAGGGTGCTAATCCCAGCAGCCCTGCTTCCTATCCAGCTTCCTGCTTGTAGCATAGGAAGGCAGTCAAGGACTGCGAACAGTCTTAGGACCCTGCACTTGCATGGGAGACACAGAAGCTCCAGGCTGTTGGTTTCGGATCGACGTAGCTCCGGCTATGAAAGACACTTGGGGAGTGAATCATCAGATGGAAAATCTTCCTCTCTGTCTCTCCTCCTCTCTGTATATCTGACTTTCCAATAAAAATAAATCTTAAAAGAGAGAGTGTGTGAGAACTTTTAGTAACAAATTGTACATTCTTTGAAGAAAATATATTTAAGATTTTCAGCCTTTAATTCCTTTCTGCTGATTATATCTAACTCAAAAGAAGTCATTTGTTGATGTGGACAATAATTAGCAACAGGTGGTTCATCTCCATCTTCTAAGCACAATGATGCTTCACAAGTACCATATGCTGATGTATGCAGCAATAAAATACAATTCAGATCACTGACTCACCCAAGAATTTACAAATCAGAGTTGTAATCATTAGTTTATCAGGCAAGTACAAGAAAGACTAGCTGTATAAACAAATTTATATGATATTACAGTTCAAACAAGCCAAGGCTTTTTTTCAGTTTAATTATCATCAAGCTTATCTTTCAGGATTATTTTCTGTAGTCGCAATAAACAACTGGAAATATTTTCTAAGCCTATCATAAAATTAATTAGTAACATTTACAGATGCTCCTCAGATACTTCTTCTATTCCGCCATTTGCTACAAGTAAGTTTACTAAGTAACAGATAAAAGCACCACTACCACAGCTGAAAAAGGAAAAGTGACCTTCTACCAGTGGTTTGAGAAGAGCTATTGCCATCTAGTGTCTAACAAATCACTGCCGGAAACACACAGCAGCAAAATGGAAAAACGGAAACGTTCACTCCCCAGCGCTGCTGAGCATACTCCGCACATCACAGCACAGACGCGCTAATGTGGAATTGATTTTTCTATTATGGGACTAAACTCACCCGGGGATAAGCTTACCTTGCCAACATAAGCTACCTTGCTAATTCTAAAACAAGTAAAATAAAACAGATGAAAAGCATTAGCTTGACTTTCATCTTTACATGCTAATACAGCTATAATTAATATCTAGGTATTACTTATCTCCAGTGCAGAATTACTAAGTAAGTAGGGCTAACAAGCAGCAAGGCCCAATGGTAAGTATTGAACCTGTCTAGCTTTTCAAGTAGCTAGAAGTGAGGTGGTACAAAAGGTCAAAGGGTAGAAATGGGAAGGTGAAAATAAAAACAAGGTAAATTATAATCCTACACTTAGATAATTTAAGAGAGTAGACATACAGTACTTCATTAAGAATTAAAAGAAGAGGTTAAAAATGCAAGGGAAGGGGCCTGGCACAGTAGCCTAGTGGCTAAAGTCCTCGCCTTGCATGCACCTGGATCCCATATGGGTGCCAATTCTAATCCTGGCTGCTCCACTTCCCATCCAGCTCCCTGTTTGTGGCCTGGGAAAGCAATGGAGGATGGCCAAGAGCCTTGGGACCCTGCAGCCTGACCTCTAGCCTTGGGAGAGCTAGAAGAAGCTCCTGGCTCCTGATTGGCTCAGCTCCAGCCATTGCAGCCACTTGGGGAGTGAATCACCAGACTGAAGAGCCTCCTCTCTGTAAATCTGACTTCCCAATGAAAATTAATCTTAAAAGCAAACAAACAAAAAAAGCGTCAGGGAAGCTAATCTGACTAACCTACTGAGCATGGACTGGAACCTGAAATGGGAAAAATCACTTCCGAAGAGGAATACACTAATCACACAAAGCATGTTCAACGACCAACAGCAAAAACAACTGCTTTGTAATAGCTAGGCTCAAAGCAGCTGAGCCCTGGGCTGTTTTCTGGTTTACTGGTAATATCTCAGGTCTGCTTCCCAAGGGGGACCATTAAGTGATCCAATGGACAGATATTATCTGTTAGGGGTCACATATTTGGAATCCCTTCTAACTAAAGACAAACGACAACCTAGCAAAGACTATTATTGATTCTTGATTGCTTACTCTGGCATTTAAACCTGGCATAACTGTGCACTGTGACAAAAATGTAAGAGCACTAGCCTGCCACAAGCCTACTCTGATTATTAATGCTGGTGCCCTCACTGCTATTCCTGCCATAGAAGCCCGGGTACCGCAAGTACTTCAGCTTGAATGCATCAAAAAAACAAACTCCAGCTTAGGAAGGCAGTTTCGGTGGAAAAGCCCTGAAATCCAACCCTCACTCTGCTATAGCTGTGTAGAGGGGCAGAAGCTTTCATCTGGGATCACTTTCTTGTCTGTAAACAGTGATGCTGAACCACGTGTTGTTTCTGTAGTAAGTAGCAAACAGTAATAAAGTGGGAAACTTCTGTACAAATGATTTAGTTCAGAACTTGCAATTTATAGCTTTGTGATCTTGAGCAACTACCATGCTCATTTCCACATTCCTTCTCTCCAGAGTGTTGTAAGAATTATGATTTAATAGTACTTTTACTATATAAGGAAGCAAAGTCTTCCAAAAGATGCCATTTATTGAAGATGAGCCTTTATTAGCCTTCTGAAACACATAGGGAAATCAAGGAATGAAATGGAAAAGTGAGGTAGATTCAAAATTGGGTGTTAAAACCTCTACTTTCTCTTTCTTCTTTTTTAAAAAGATTTATTTATTTTATTGTAAAGTTAGATATATACAGAGAGGAGGAGAGCCAGAGAAGATGATCTTCCATCCGATGATTTACTGCCCTAGTGACAACAGTCGGAGCTGAGCCAATCTGAAGCCAGGAGCTTCTTCCAAGTCTCCCACGCCAGTGCAGGGCCTTAAGGCTTTGGGCCGTCCGTCCTTGACCGTTTTCCCAGGCCACAAGCAGGGAGTTGGATGGGAAGCGGGGCTGCTGGAATTAGAACCGGCATCCACACGGGATCCTGGCATGTTCAAGGTGAGGACTTTAGCCACTAGGCCACTGCGCTGGGCCCAAGTTTTATTTATTTTAAAGGCATAATTACAGAGAGCAAGGAAGAGACACAGCAAAAGAGATCACTCTTCTACTGGTTCACATTTTCTTTTCTTTTTTTTTTTTTTAAAGATTTATTTATATTGGAAAGGCAGATATACAGAGAGGAGAAGACAGAGAGGAAGATACTCTGTCTGATGATTCACTCCCCAAGTGACTGCAACGGCCGGTGCTGTGCCTATCCGAAGACAGGAGCCAGGAACTTCCTCCAAGTCTCCCACACGGGTACAGGGTCCCAAGGCTTTGGGCCATCCTCCACTGCTCTCCCAGGCCACAAGCAGGGACCTGGAGTGGAGCTGCTGGGATTAGAACTGGTGCTCATTCGTGATCTCGGCGCTTTCAGGGCAAGGATTTTACCCACTAGGCCACAGTGCTGGGCCAGGGGGAAGCCAGATCTTGTTCTGAATATTCCACAGGATGCTAGGGGTCCAGGTAATGGGGCTATCTTTCCCTGCTTCTCCAAGTTCATGAGCAGGGAGCTGGAGCAGAAGTGGAGCTATCAGGAAAGGAATGGACACCCACCGGGGAGTCCAGGCTCAGGCTGAAGAATTATTCACTATGCCATAATACCAGCCCTGCTTTTTCTAAAAATCTAAGTTTGTATGGCTCCACAAAGGACTAAGCAAGCAGAGGAAGGAATGTATGAAATCTGTTTCATGAAAATGGTACTTTCTGGCATTGGCTGAAAATTGCCCTAGCTGTAGCTGTGACCACAGGTGAGATTCGGCACCTACAGTCTGGAGCTTCAGCTCACCCCTCACTCCATGGTGTGGGGATGTGAAACCCAGGCCCTGACAGCAGCAAGAAAAAAAAAGTACACCTTGGTCTTTTAAAAGTGATAGTTTTAGGGCCCAGTACAGTAGCCTACTAAAGGCTAAAGGCTAAAGTGCTAGCCTTGCTAGCCTTGCTAGCCTTGCATGTGCTGGGATCCCATATGGGCAACTGCTGGCTGCGCTGCTTCCCATCCAGGTCCCTGCCTGTGGTCTGGGAAAGCAGTCAAGGACAGCCCAAAGCTTTGGAACTCTGCGCCTGCTGGGAGGCCTGGAGGAGGCTCTGGGCTCCTGGCTTCGGATTAGCTCAGCTCTGGCCATTGTGGCCGCTTGGGGAGTAGATCAGTGGATGGAAGATCCTCCTCTCTGCCTTTCCTCCTTTCTGTGTATCTGACTTTCCAATAAAAATAAATAAATCTTTAAAAAAAAAAAGACAGTCCAATCACTTGGATCACCAATTTTTCAATGAATACAATTTTCTGTTAACAGTGTGACAAACATGAAAAAGGCCTGTATCTTGAACTGATTTGTATCAAAAACAGAAATACAGCTCTGATTCTACCACACCTGGGGACTGGATTTAAGCAGGGAAGTTAGGTAAGCAGAGATGACCTTCAAAAGGAAGAGACTTGACGCCAGCGTGTGGTGACACAGCGGATAAAGCTGCTGTTTGCCATGCTGGCACCCCGAATGGACGCCAGTTCGAGTCCCAGCTGCTGCACTCGAGATCCAGCTCCTTGCTAATGTCCCCAGGAAGGCAGCAGAGCACAGTCCACGTGCTGGGGAGCCCCCACATTCTGGAGTTCCTGGCTCCCATTTTCCAGCTCTGGCTTGGTCCAGCCCGGTTCCTGCAGCCATCTGGGGAGTGAACCAGCAAACGGGAAGCTCTCCATGTCCCTCTCCCTTACTTTATTTAAAGGCAACAAACAAATGTTTTTTAAAGATGTAATTAAAGATGTACTGTGAAAGACAGAATTGAGGAGGTTAAGAATGTGGAGGCAAAGATTACCTTGATGGTTCACGTAAGAGGTGATCTTATGACTAAAGACAGAATAATTGTGTCATTCTTCTCCTATTTACCACACAACAGCAATGCTCAGTTAAATTCATATTGTCACACTAATTCTGCCTCTGCACCTAAACTGCTCACATAAAATAAATTCTTCAGCACTATGCAGCCACAATCGTAAGAATCCAGAAGCTCACCGTCATATTTGTAACAAGGCGCCATGCATCATTTAGGCTGTTAGTGCAGATCCCACAGCTTTCCCTTTAACACCTGAATAATCTCCTTCCACCAGAACACAGCAAACCCTACTGTGTGAGATACCACAGATACCTTCGCTCCAAAAGTCTCCCCAGACCATCAGACTGCACTGCCACTCTGCTCAGTAGCTAGTCCACCATCCATGCCACCATCACAGGGACTCCAACACGCTGGCAGGCCCCCGTTACCTGACTCCAGCGTCTCCTCCCCTTCCGGCAAGAGCCTGGCTTTCTTAGCATTCTGTGGGGCATCATCGCCGTTGTCCTCGTATATGTTGGACCACTTTATCGCCATGTCCAGCTCTGGGGGCGGTGGCTTCCTCTCCTGCGCGTAGGTTTCCGGTGGGGGCACGTAGCTGGACTTCCACACCTTGAACTCCTTCGGAGGCTGTCAAGGAAGCAGAGGAGGAGGTGCTGTGACGAGCCTGGGTCCCCCACCATGCACGCCAGCACAGGCGGTTGCCTGCAGGCCGCTTAGCCTTCAGGCTCATTATTACTAATATGTTTTAAGATTTTTTTTTTAAAGCAACGTTTGGTTTTGTTTAAAAAAGAAAAATCACAATACGGTTACGTGAAAAGCCAAAGGGTTCCCTATAAGAATAAAGCTCAGAACTTTATTATTATTTTTTTTTTAGTTACCAAAGAAGAATCCAGTCTCAGAGATACTACGCCAAGGCCGACCCCTTCCAGGAGGCTGCAGCAGGCAGTGTCTTGGAGGCAGCACGGCGGGCACTTCGGCGTCAAAGGGAAGGGGTGTCGGGGAGAAGCTGCAGTGGGGGCGGGTGGGGAGTGACCACCGTTAGTCCTGCCGCGCGGGGGTGCGGGGTGCAGGGCCGGCCCGACACCCCCCACCCGGGGCGGCGTGCCCGGGGCCCGGGCCGGGCGGCCTCACCTCCTCCGGCGCCTTCACCACGTGCCGCTCCCAGTCTATCTGCTTGTTGAGCGGATTGTAGAGAAAGGCCGGGCGAGTCACGCTGCGGAACAGCTCGTCGGGGCCCGGCAGCCGCTTCTCCGCCTTGTTCCCGCAGCCGCCCGCCGGCTTGGCCTCCGCATCGGCGGCCCGGCGACTCGTCTCCTCCGGCTCGCTGTCATCCTCCTCGCCCGAGGAGCCCGAGCTGCTGCTCCCATAGGCTGCGAAATAGCTCAGCGGGTCCTTCTCCTCCGCGGCCATGACGGCTGCGCGCGGCGACCCAGCACGCCACCGGAAGCAGGAAGCGGCTCCGGAGCGCGTCCCAAGCCGGACACAGGGCCTCGCGGCGGGCGCCCCCTGGCGGCGGCACTGCGCCGCTGCGCCGCTGCTCCCCGGCCGCCTTGCGGGCTGCGCTTCCCCGGGAAGAGACCAAATCCCAAGGCCTGGCTGCATTCCCTGTGGCCTGGACGGATTCCTCTAACAGCCGCTGTCCAGGCCTGTTCTGCCTTTTTGCAATATGTTAGACTATCTTCACAGATACTTACTAACGCTTTGCCGAAGGCTGTTTTTTTTTTTTTAAAGATTTATTTTTATTATTTTTTCATTGGAAAGGCAGATATAAAGCGCGATACAGAGCGAGCCTAATCCGGATCTGCAACATGAACTACCTAATGCTGAGCTTTCCAACTGTGGGTCGCCACACCTGGTCTTTCTGCCCTGGCTCCAGCCGCATCCACACGGGTATCCTGCTAGTTTCTGAAATACCCGCTTATATGAGTAGAAACTTGTCTTTCCTATTGCTTATCTTCGCAACTGTCCCATCTCTTAGTAAGTGGTACAACCATGTGTCTCGCTACCTCTCTGACTCTTCTGGTGAACTGAGACAGAATGACACCTAAGTGAAGTTGCTATCAGTGTACTTAGAGCTGTTTGCTGCTGCAATATGGTCCTATGCTGTCCCCGCTGTCTCTGCGCCAGCCCTGTGCAGCTGGCCAAGCACCGCCTCTCCAGTATGCGCACTACCTCTGATACAAGTGTTCTGGCCAGACCTGGGAAGCCATGGGCACTGTGGTCCAGCAGAGGTAATGCCAGCCTGGAAGGTTCTGGGCCCACAGCCCAGACCTCATGAGATGGGGCCCTGTGTACCAGCAAAGGGGTTTGGTAAGTCCACTGGGTCTGTGGTCTGGGGCTCAGCCATCCTGAGTGGCTGGACAGCTACATTCCAGGTAAAGCTGAGAAGGACATGGCAGCTCCAATGACAAACTGCTGGACTGGGATTCAGGTCTTTTACTGAGGACACAATGACTCAATGGTCTAATCCTCCCCCGGCAGACACTGGGTTCCCACGTGGGCTCTGGTTCATGTCCTGGCAGCTCCACTTCCCATCTAGCTGCCTGCTTATGGCTTAAGAATGCAGTCGAAGACAGCCCAAAGCCTTGGGACCCTGTACCCACGTGGGAGACCTGGAAGAAGCTCCTAGCTCCTGGCTTCATATCAACTCAGCTCCAGCCATTGTGGCCACTTAAGGAATGAACTAGCAGATAGAAGATCGTTGTCTCTCCCTCTCTCTGTAAATCTTCCTGTCTAAATAAAAATAAGTAAATACATATTTTTAAATAGGTCTTTTACTGATTCTCCCATTGCCATTGGCACATCTGAACGGCCATCTGATAGACCCAGGTGTTCAACTCAGATGTCTTCCCTGAAAACAGAAAAACGATTGTGCTTATATGATTTCCATGGGTTCTCTCCAGTGCTGAAAAGAAGAAAAGTCAAATTTTTGACATGAACAAGCATTTTGAGGAAAGATTTGGTACATAGGCTACAGTAGTAGCCTATCAAAATGCCTTTTGATAAAAATCATGATGGTTGATTGATTCAGAAAAGTGAATCTTCCAAAGAAAAGCCAGTAGCCTATCAAAATGCCTTTTGATAAAAATCATGTTGGTTGATTGATTCAGAAAAGTGAATCTTCCAAAGAAAAGCCAGCAAAAAATATATAAGTAAGTAAATAAAAGTTCCATTGCCAGGGATAAGATTTCTGTTTAACGTAACCTCAGCCCCACCTGTAAGTGAGGTGCATGTCCAGGGTCACCTGCTTGAGATCATTGCTGACTTGAGTCTAGTTCCAATGTGCCTAGTGGGTGCTTGCAGCCTTTTCTAGATCACTAAACAACAAGAGTCTGCAAACATGGGTATTGGTCATTATATAAGGGTCTTTATTTCTTTTAAAAAATAGTTTTAGTTTTTAAACTTTTATTTATTTTAGAATGTGGGAAGAGAGCGAAAGAGTGTGGCAAATTGCTAGTATCTACTGTCTGCTGCTTCATTCCCGACAATACTGCTGGGGCTGGGCTGGGCTGAAGCCAGGAGCCAGGAACCCCATCTTGGTCTCTCACATGGGTGCCTGGGCCCCAAATATTGAGGTCATCAGTCACTGTCTCTCAGGTGTGTGAGTGGGAATCTGGACCAGAACTTCACAGTGAGCAGAACTTAACGGCACTCTACCTCAACATGAATGTTGGCTCCCAAGAGGTGCTTAGTCCTCTGCTCCACAGTACTTGTCTTTGTCCATTATGTTGACTTCATTTCTGCTTGGGTTTATGTCAGTGAGGACTGACACTCACGTACAACTTGCCATCCCTCCCTGTAGCTAAGCTCAAGGGGAGGGTCCCAAGCTGAGCTGTCTTGTCTACTGCTCTTTCTCAAGGCCTCTATGGTAATTTCTATGACCACCTGAATGCGAGAAGCTGGACTATGCTTTGTTCATTTCTATATTCCTTCCCAGGTCCTGGCTCAGTGTTTGTCACAGAGTAAAAGATCAGTAAGTACTGCCGGGCTGTAAGGACCTGTGAGGGCATGTACCATTATTAGTCTTCCTCAATTTTTCCCCATCTAAGTAGTCATATTGTTAAAGACAAGTAATAATCTCAAGGTGAAAATTTTAGGAATTGCCAAAACCATCCTCATAAAATAAAAATAAAAATTTTTTTAAAATAAATAAAAATAAAATAAAAAGCCATCCTCTGACATAAATTCTGAGTTTGAGGTTCCCTTGGGCTGTCCTTAGGCTTGATAATTAATCAGAAGGACATGCTGTTACGCTCAGGGTTGTAGTCACTTACAGCAAAATCCTGTAAGGAAAAAAAAATCAACGAAACAAAAAAATCAAAGGGAGAGGCACATTAAACGGAGTCCAGTCAAGCTGCACATTGAGAGCATCCAGCTGTCTTCTGCCAGATGACCTGTACTGTCTTGTCCTGGCAAAGATTTGTGAGAAAATGCATGGAGTGCTGCTAACCAGAGCAGTTCACCTGAGCCTCAGTGCCCAGAGTTCTTACTGGCGCGTGGCTGAGACATGGTGAACATGCCTGTGGCTAAGTGCAGTTTCTGGCCCCTTCAGGGGTTGAGGGGGTTGAGCTGACACAGTTGTGGCCCAAAGTTCCAAGGGTATAAAACCGGAGGATGAAAATGCAATATCATGCCTTGAAAAGCTGTATAAACATTGCTTAGCTGTTGCTAATATGGCCTGTTCAGTAGACTGAGATACTTAAAATAACTTACTGCTGAATAAAATTGATACTCTCAGAAGATAGTCATACTTACCTTGTGAGTTCTGAAAGTGACCCCTTTTTAAAAATTTATTTTATTTTATGGTAAAGTCAGATATACAGAGAGGAGAGACAGAGAGGAAAGATCTTCTGTGTGCTGATTCACTCTTCAAGCGGCCACAACAGTAGGAGCTGAGCCGATCTAAAGCTAGGAGCCAGGAGCCTCTTCTGGGTCTCCCGTATGGATTGCATGGTCTCAAGGCTTTGGGTTGTCCATGACTGCTTTCCAGGCCTCAAGCAGGGAGCTGGACGGGAAGCGGGGCCGCTAGGATTAGACCTGGCACCCTAGGGGATCCTGACGCATGCAAGGCAAGGACTTTAGACGCTAGACTACCATGCTGGGCCCTAAAAGTGGCCCATTGTTGAATGCCACTGAAGTTAGGTTACCCAGTTTGAGCAACCAAAATTAATGATGTCAAAACCAAAAACCATGGAACCAACGTTGTGGGATAGCAGGTAAAGCCATTTGTGGTACTGGCATCCCATATGGGCACCAGTTTAAGTTCCAGATGCTCCACTTCCAACCCAGCTTCTTGCTGATGTGCCTGGAAACAGCCCAGGTCCTTGGGAATGAGACATGCAGAAGCTTCTTGCTTTTGGCTTTGGGCTGTCCCAGCTCCAGCCATGACAACCATTTTGGGAAAGCAACGGAAGATGAAGATCTCTCTCTGCACTGACTGCCCTCCCCCACCACTACATCTTTCAAATAAGTAAATAAATCCGAAAATACCAACCTCCTCTGTACAAGCAGATTCAACAACCACTTTTGATTTCCAATAAGTTAGGCCTCCTCCAAATTTTTCTCCTGTCTTTTAACTGATCATATACCTTATTTCTCTTCCTAGTTCAGAGTCCATTTCTGATTTCTGGTTCGCTGCTCAAATGGCTGCAACAGTCTGGCCTGGACCAGTAAAGCCAGGAGCCAGGAACTCCATCCAGGTTTCCCGAATGGGTGGCAAGGACCCATGTAGTTAGACGTTATTGTCCACTCTCTTTGGAAGCACATGGACAGGAATCTAGATCAAATGCAGAGCTGCCAAGAAGCAAGCAGGTTCTCTAACACTGGATGGCAGCACAGTAAATGGAAGCTTAACTCACTGTACCACAACACTAAGGCCTTTTGCCTCTTTTAAAAATCTACCCTCCATATTGAGGTGAACTCAAGTTTCATGGTTTTCAGTAGTATTTTATGCTGCTTTTCATTGTTTTAACTGAGATACCCAAGAGGAGGAAAGAAAATGTTTGCTTCCGTTGCACCTCTGAGGTTATGGTTCAGGTTCAGGTGGTTCCATAGTCTGGTGCCTGTGGAGGATGGTCACAATGGGAGCAGAGGAATGAGTCACGGTGAGCCATGAGACAGAGCTCAGTTAGATGCAAATGCTAACCTGCAATGTGGGTGCCCGGGCCCAAAGACTTAACTATCTTTCGCTGTTTTCCCAGTGCATAGGCAGGGAGCTAGAGCAGAAGTGGAGCAGCTGGCAAGTGAATCCACGCCCATATGGGATACCAGTGCTGCAGGTGGAATTGATTAGCCTAAGTCACTGTGCTACTTTGAGCTTCTGATTTAGGTTTGAATTAAGAGTGGAAAAAGTACATAAATCTATTCTTCCTTTACCACTTTAAAGAAAAGCTAACAGGGGAGTGCAGAATTGCAGCTAGAACACTGATCTTCAATCAAGCAGCCCTAGATTCTCATCCTGAAGAGTTCACATTAAAAGCTTTCCTTCATGTGAGTGTTTAGTGTTAAAGTGACAACGAAACCTATATTGCAAGGTTAGTAGGATTGAAATAAAATTACACACAGAATACCCAACATAGTATGTGGCATCCAATAAGGCTTTGTTTTCAAATTTTGTAGCATATTGGAATAATCTGGTAATCTTGTCTTCCACATTCAGACATTCGCTTCAGATACAGGGTGCAGCCTGGGGACTGGGATTTTTTTTTTTAAGATAGCAGTGAGCAGGAAAGAAAGTGAGTGTGAGACAGGGGGCTATCTTCACTGCTTTCTCTGGTGCATTCACAGGCAGCTGGATCAGAAGTGGAGCAGTCACAAAAGAACTGGAGAAATCAAAACGCACATTGCGTAGCCAGTATGGAATGACTATATAACATAACAATTCAACTATATGACATTTCATGAAAAACAGAACGAAAGAATAGTGGCTGCCAGGGTTTTGAGGGGGTCAGGAGATACTAAAGGCTGAACAAGCAGAGCATTAAGAGATTTTGAAGGAAGTGAAAATATTCTGTATTGCACAGTCATGGTGAATACATGATAATACCCATTTGTCAAATGCATGGAACTACAGCCTTTGGTTAATAATAATGTTTCAAACTGGTTCACCCTTGTATCAAATGATCCACATCAATGCAGGATGAGGAAAGAAGGGTATACTTGGAAACTTATTTTATTCATTTTTTATAAACCTCCAATTGTTCCAAAAATTATTCTGAAAGAAAATAGTAACTAGTATTATTGTCTATGTAGTCATTCAACAGTATGGAAAAATTCAATGTTAAAATTGACCTATAAGAACTTTGATCTGATCATAATCAAAATTTCTTAATGCTATGAAAGTGTTTCTTTGGAAAGAAAGGATCTTCCCTTGGTTACTTCACTCTCCAAATGCCTGCAACAGCTGGCGGTGTGCCAGACTGAAGCTGGCAACCAGGAACTCTGCTCAGGTCTCCCAACTGGGTGGCAGGGACCCAAGTACTGGAGTCATTTGCTGTCTCAGGTGTACATTAGAGGAAGCTGGATTCTGAAGTAGAGTAACACTTAATTCTTGGCACAATACACTAGTGTATCCAGCTGCAGCTTAACCTGTGGAGCCACAGTGCCCACCATATTAGCTATGATGGGAGGACAGGGTGAGAAAAAGAGGGAGAATGAGAATACCATTGGTTGAGTCATTTCCCAAATCCTCTGAACAGCCAGGGCAGGGTCAGGTTGAAATCAGGAGCCAGGAGTCCAATTTACGTCTCTGAGTGAGTGGTACAGAATCAACCACTCTGGGCTACCACCTGGAGCCTCCCAGGGTGCACATAAACAGGAAGCTGCAAGTAGAGGTGGAAGGGCAAACTGAACCCAGTAATTCTAGTATGGGATGTGGGTGTCCAAGTGGCATTGTACTGCTCTTGCAAATGCCTAACCTTGCCACTATTTCTTAGGCTGCAGTTAAAACACATTCCTTAAACTTCAGAAATTGCTTATACTACATTAAAAAAATGAAGTATTAAAACTTAAAAAAAAAAGCCAGTATGCTGAATCTTCTCATGGTTGAGTCATTAAAAAATTCAACTCAATATCACAAGTTAGTTTTCTACAAATTGCTATGCATTTTCCATTCCCCAGATGTTCAGAACAGCCAGGACTGGACCAGAATTAAGCTAGGAAGCAGCAATGCCATCTGGGTCTCCTATGTGGGTAACAGGAACAGGAACTTAAGTACTTGAACCATCACCAGCTGCCTCCCAGTGTGCTCATTAGAAGGAAGTTGGATTAGAGGCAGAGCTGGGATTCAAACCCTGGGGCTGACTGGGACTAAAGGGCTATACCATAGTATCAAACACCCCACCTGAAAGCATCTTTTTTTTTTTTTAAGCTTCAAGATTTATTTATTTTCTTTGAAAAGGCAGGTTTTACAGAGAGGAGAGACAAAGATCTTCTATCTGCTGGCTGACTCCCCAAGTGGCCGCAACAACCAGAGCAGGGCTGATTCGAAGCCAGGACTCAGGAGCCTCTTCCAGGTATCCCACACTGGTGCAGGGTCCCAAGACCTTGGGCCATCCTTGACTGGTTTCCCAGGCCACAAGCTGGGACCACAATTGATGGGAAGTAGAGCAGCCAGGACATGAATCAGAATCCATATGGGATCCCAGTTCTTGCAAGGTGAGGATTTAGTCACTAAGCCACTGTGCTGGGCCTGAAAACATCTTTTAAAATCTCATCAAATTACATGACATGAGGCTTATGACAGGACAATTTTGGTAAGAATGAAAACGATAAAAAATGTGAAAATCTTGAGAAAGCAGTGTTAACATGAAATGAAGCCAACTGAGGTTTTCAGGGGCTCAAGTTCCGCATGTATTCTAAGGAGACTCTGTACAAGCCTGTAAGACCAACTGAGTATGCTGGCAGTTTTGCCTTCAGTGATTGGGTTTATTTCAAGATAGGAACAGCTTAATGCTGAGAATTTACTGCTTAGTAGTTAGAAAGGACCATTAGAAAATTTCTAGTAAAAATGCAGATAGAAAAGTCATTTTAAGCTCCAGAATCCACTTTCAAATACAGAAATGTTCATTAAAATTAGTCTTAAATGTGAAATATCTGAACACAAAGCACCTAAAAACAAAAAATACAGAAAAGCACACGATCAACATGATTTACATATTGCTCTATTCTGAAGTATATTTCTTTTTCTCTAAAATATCCTATTTACAAAGTGTGTTTAAAATTGCATTTTATAAGACACATATCAAATGTAAATAAACCACTGAAGAAGTTTTGTAAGAGCTGTCTCCCTTAGGACACTTTTTGTCATTGCTGAGCAGTTGAAATTGCAGGGCGCCGTCACTGCCGCGAAAGAGCACGGGACCGCAAGGGAAGGAACATCTCACTCGAGTTCGAACAAGGAACCTGCTCTTCTAACTGCAGCTCTGGCGGCAAAGGGGGAGCCCCGGGGTCCCCAGGTCTAGGAAGTGTGGTTGAAGAGAAGATGGTATTTTCAGTTCTGCCTACTTCTAGGACAGGCAAATTCAGAGAAGAATCTGTTGAGAAAAAGGGAGCCGTGCTGGACTCTCCTTCCGGATGGTACATGACGGAGGCTCTCCGTTTCTCAGAGAAGCTGTTCTCATCGGAATTGGATCTGGACAAGATGTTTGTGGCTCCACCTGGGAACGGCTCACAGCTGCTGCATTTCAGTCCTATGAGTGAATGATCCAGATGTAATAAAAAATGACCCAAAACCAAAACAATACAATTGCAATCCACCTTCATCTTTGGAGCTTTTCAAAGACTACCAGCCAGTTGCCACACAAACAAATTTTAAACAGCAACTTAAGTACTCATCATAATCCATTTCAAATCTATCTGTCTTTATGCTAAGAAAAGTCATGAAGTATTCATATTTTCTAGATAAGGGTACAGTCTCAAGGAAGTTAAATGGCATGCTATGATTCACATTCCAATATACTTATAAAAAACTCAACCACTGAACGAGCCAAAACAATAAAGCAATCCCTAAAATTTTTCATAAACTAACAAAAAGCTTTCACAATCAATAAACATCCTTTAGCATTCAGATACAGAAAATACAAGCTGATAACAAATGAACAAGGCATATGATAAAATTTTATGAGCAAGAATCAGCAAGGGGGATCTGACTGGTCACCTGGGATAGCCTCTCACTACTAGAGATGAGGAAACAGAGGCACTGAACAGCTAAGGAGGCCCACACTCCAGGATGACCTCATGGCAAAGTGACAGCTTCCCAACCTCACTGTCTGCTTAACTGATGGTGCCTGTTTTATCAGAGCATCTCATCATATCCAAGGGTATGGCTGACAATCACTTCCAGGTTTTTTTTTCTTTTAAGATTTATTTATTTATTTTAGTTACAGAGAGAGAGGGAGACACACACAGAGAGGGATCTTCCATCAGTTGGTTCACTCCCCAAATGCCTGGAACAGTCAAAACTGTATTGGGTAAAAACCAGGACCCTGGAATGACATGCAGGTGCCCCACACTGGTGGCAGGGACCCAAGCACTTGACCATCATCTGCTGCCTTCCAGCATGCATCAACAAGAAGCTGGATGGGAAACAAGTAGCCAAGACTTAAACTGGTACTCTGATATGGGATGCAGTAGTTCCTAGTAGTGGTTTAATACACTGCCCAATACCTGTCCTGTATTCATTATTTCTATCCCAAATGACACAAATCATTCTCTTATGTGTGGCTCACAAGGAGGAAATCTCCAATGTGTGCTAAAACCAGCAAGAACTTAGGCTAAAAGCTCACTAAGGGCAGAATCCTAAATTACATATTTGTGTATTACCAGAATCTGGAATGGCTGGAGTAGAGCTATGCTACATGTATATGTGCCCTAGAGAAGGAGAGGAAGTGGAAGGGTGGGGACTACATTGTGCGAGCATTCCTGTTAGGAAGCATGTGCCTGCCACGAGTCCCGGGAAAATGGCAGAGGTGACTCTGTGATTCCCATAATCTCAGTTCCCACGCCTGTCCCATCATGTAGGCAGAGTGTATTTCTAGTGGTTAAAGTCAGGTGTTTTATACAATATGATTCCTACAAATGTATGCCAACTGCATCTGTGATCAATTGGTAGAAGACAAACTAGCCGAGTTGGACTTACTAAAATTCTCTATCTATATACTGTCTTTTTGTGTGACTCATAATATTCCCAGAGATTCTGCATAGGTTAATTTTATATTCTGCTGATTTAAGAAATAAACCCTTGGGATCAATGTAGTGGCTCAGTTGGCTGATCCTCCCCTTGCAAGCACTGGGGTCCCACGTGGGCACCGGTTTGTGTCCTGGCTGCTCCATTTCCCATTCTACAATCTGCTTGTGGACTGCAAGGGCAGTGGAGGATAGCCAGGGCCTTGGGACCCTGCACCTGTGTTGGGGGTCAAGAGAGGGATCCTGACTCCTGATTGGCTCAGCTCTAGCCATTATAGCCACCTGGGAAGTGACCCAGCAGATAGAGGTTATTTCGCTGTAGCTCTGTCTTTCCAATTAAAATAAGTAAACTTTTAAAAGAAATAAACCCTTATGGATTTGGGGTTTCATTATAACAAACTTTGTATAAATGCTGTTACTATACAAATACAAAGAAAATACTGAGTGATATTCTACCTTTGCAATGTAATGACAGTATTAAGGTAAAAAATGCAAACCAAATATTAATTCTGAAGCTTAAACTTTTATTTTTGAGTTTAAAAAATTTTTACTTTTGCCTGAAAGGCAGGGAGACAGAGAAATCTTTTATCAGTTAATTCATTTTCCAAAGACCTGTGCAGGCCAGGCCAGGTTAGACTAAAGCCAGGAGCCTGGGACTCAGTCCAGGCAACTGTCCTGCACAGGTAGCAGGGACCCTCGGTATGTGCTAGCAGGAAGCTGGACCCACAAGTGTAGCTATCACCCAAGCCAGGCACACCCATAGGGAATGTGGGGCTCTCAAGTGGTATCTTACTTGCTGTATTAATGACTGTCCCTGAAGCAATGGGTCACTTCTCATTTGTTGTTTTGGTGCATATTTTCTGCTTTGTTTTTGCATTTTTAAAAAAGATCGATTTATTTCAAAGATAGAGTTAGAGATCCTCCATCTGTGGCTCATTCCCTGAATGGTTGTGCCGCACAAAGCCAAGAGCTTAGGAAGCCATCTGGAGTCTCCCATGGGAATGTCAGGGGCTCAGGTTCTTGGGCCAACTTCTGTTGCCTTCCCAGGGGAGCTGGATCCAAAGTAGAATGGCTGGGACTCTAACCAGTGCCTACATGTGATGACAGCATCACAGGTGGCAGTTTAACCCTCTGTGACACAATGCAGCCCCTGCTTCTGCCTTTTAAAAAGCCTTATTACACTTATATTAACTCTTAGGAACCTAGGACATCTTACCTTTCAAATGTTCTAGCTTGATATTTCTCAGCTTCAGCACTTCATCTGTAATCTTCTGTATTAGGAAGTTCTGGGTTTTTTCTCGTCGAATAGATTCAACGAGGGTGTCTAGTCCTCTGGGGTTCTCTTGCAAGTAGTCTAACAGTTTTCCAGCTCTCTTTCTGCTTGATGTTCGGCAAGAAATTTCTTCAGTGTCTTCTCTGCTGAGTATTTTTTTGGCACGTAGATGATCAAAATGCCTCTCAGCTATGATTTTCTCACACAGATATACACGCAAATTTTCTAAAGCCTGAAAAAGATATAGCACATGCTGTAGTGTTGTTTCCCAAAACCTAAGGCATTCACATAGGTGGTGGATTGTTAGTTTGGGATCTTACCTGCTGTGAAGCAGGGGTCTGAGCTCAGGGACCCTAAAAGGCGTGCTAATTAAGATGAAGGTCTGTGTGGATACAAGTAGGTCCCACACAGTCCTCCATCGGTTCAGCCCTGCTCCAGTTTCACCTTTAAAAAGGGACCAGGCCACTGACAAGGAGGCCGGTGTGCTGGGAGCCAACAGTACTGTCCACTGTTAATTACCACTTAGCAAGGGGTTCAGAATTAAGAACAGGGAGGAAGTTCTCACCATCTGTTTAACTCCCATGGTTATAAAGAATTATTAAAGCATCTTAATTAAAAAAGCCTAACCTGTCTTTGAGGTCTGTAAGAGAAATTAAAACTTGACTTCAGGGAATTGGAAGGGGGTGTGCACCTAGAGCAGTAGAGAGTGTTGGAAAAATGGAAGAAATCAAGAATGCCACAGAAAACAAACTTGTATGTACAAAATGTAATTAGCAGGAAATCCACACTGGTCTCCACACACTGTGTCAGTAAGTTGATGTCACTTGATCGTATTTCAGCACCTCTCTAAGTGTTTTTGGGCAATTGACTTTTCTGTGCCTGTCTCCTCCTTGGCAAGAATACATAAATACATGCAAAAAACTTAGAAAAGTGCCAGTACATAGCATCAATACATGTCAGAGACTGTGATAATTGTAATTCAACTGATTCACATGTATTAATCAGAGGAGCTAAAGGTAATGAAAGGTCTCAGAGGCACAGAGCACGTTAGCTTGTCACGGATGCTACCACTTTCCGGGTGGGGTGAGGGAGGCTGACATCCTGGCTCAGGCGGTCAGGGAAGATCATGATGCAGGCAGGCTGGTGGGGAGGAAGGTCAGCCATCTGCCGCCTGTCTCAGAAATGGGGGCTGGGATGACGGCCACTCCTTTTAACAGGGCATTAAGACTACTTCTGGGACAGTACCTTGGCACAGTAGCCTAATGGCTGAAGTCCTTGCCTTGCAACCACTGGATCTCATTCGGGCACTAGTTAGTGCCTTGACTGCTCCACTTCCCTTCCATCTCCCTGCTTTTGGCTTGGGAAAGCAGTCAAGGATGGCCCAAGGCGTTGGGACCCTGCACCTGTGTGGGAAATTCAGAAGAAGCTCCTGGCTTCAGATCAGCCACCTGGAGAGGGAACCAGTGGATGGAAGATCTTTCCCTTTGTCTCTCCTCTCTGTAAATCTGACTTTCCAACAAAAATAAATAAAGAACCCCCCCACCAAAAAAAGACAACTTTCTCTGCCACACCTTGGCCTCACCTCGAGGTGAATTCCTTTGATCCCATACTTGGATTTCTAGCTCTGAGCTACCTTCTGAACTTCTGACTTGCAGATCTCAGTGCTATTTTGACATTTCCACTTACTAATCTGATCCCATTCTCCAGTCCAACCCTCAATTCTGTCACTGAGCTCACTGTTTCTTTTCAAAATTGCCCCTGAAATTTTGCTCCATTCAAATCAAATCACCATCATCTTTCCTCCACATAAATTCCAGGAGTCTCCCCGACACTTCTTCCTGCATGAACTCTTGCTTTTCTCTGTACACAGAATAGCCAGGAGGGAATCTTGAAAAAGCAGAACCAGGGCCTGGCGTGATAGCGTAGTAATTAAAGTCTTCGCCTTGCATGCACCGGAATCCCATATGGTCGCTGCTTCTAATCCCGGCAGCCCTGCTTCCCATCCAGTTCCTTGCTTGTGGCCTGGGAAAGCAGTCCAGGATGGCCCAAAGCCTTGGGACCTGCACCGGTACGGGAGACCTGGAAGAGCTCCTGGCTTCAGATGGGCATAGTATCAGCTGTTGAAGTCACTTGGGGAGTGAATCATTGGACGGAAGATCTTCCTCTCTGTCTCTCCTCCTCTCTGTATATCTGCCTTTCCAATAAAAATAAATCTTAAAAGAAAAAAAAAAGAAAGAAAAAGCAGAACCCAACCAATAACTCCCCACCAGGAGAAAACTCAGGCCCTCCACAGACTGGCTGTAATCTACCTTCTTAACTTTACTCCAGGTTAACCTCTTTTCCAACTGCCCCAAGTCACAAAGGTCCAGCTGATTTTACAGTTCATGGCAAATTCTATTCTCTCTAGAATTTCTTCCCCAGTTATGTAATATCCTTCAGCAACCAGCTCAAAACATAACCTCCTCTGGCCATTTTATATTAAGGAGACTTCCTATTATTGTCTTAGCTCATGCTTTTCCCTGTCATAGCACTTATAATTTGTAATTCTACATTTGTATGTTTTTAAGTCCAATGACCTATATGTTTGCCTAACTGGCAAGAAATAGGTATATTGTTTTGTTTTTAAGATTTTATTTACTTCAAAAGCAACCTGTGTAAGTGCACTATTTGGGTGAGCCACTTTCCTGTAGCCTTTGACCCTTTGTGACCTAATCAACTATGTAAACATTATCAAAAATAAAATAATTGAAAACAAAAGAAAATGTATTAATTTTTACTTATTTAAAAAGGCAGAAAGAGAACAGATCTTCCCTCTACCGGCTCACTCCTAATATACCAGCAATAGCCAGCAATGGTCCAGGCCAAAGCCAGAGCCAGGAACTCCATCAAGCCAGGAACTTGAGTCATTATCTGCTTCCTCCCCAGCACATCAGCAGGAAGCCGGGACCCAATTTCAGACACTCCGATATGAGATGAGAGTATCCCACACCGTATCTGCAAGCCTTACTCCAAAAAATACCTATTTCTGACACAGGTACAAGTGAAAATCATAGAAATGGATAACATCAATGAACTATCAGAGAAAAATAAAGATATGGAGGCCACTCTTCCAAAAGTTTGTATATGGGTCTCATTTCCTCCCATCTGACATCCCTCTGGCTTTGTTGTAACAGTTGTGAAGGGAGCTTGGCAATTATCTCCTTTAAGAGATGTAGTAAAGATGAAGTAGGAACATTATAAACTGTGGAATATAGGCCTATCTCTTGAAATTCATGGTTTTAGTGGCAATCATTCTGAAAGAGACAATACTTATTAATTTCTATAAGGTGAGTATTCCTAATGTGAAAATCTGAGGTGCTTTAGTATCCGCACTGATGTGATATTAGTAGGAGATTCCATACTTGACCTCGTGTAACGGGTCACTGAAAACAGGTATAGCAAAAGTAATACATGGGGGCCCGGCAGCGTGGCCTAGCGGCTGAAAGTCCTCGCCTTGAACGCGCCAGGATCCCACATGGGCGCCGGTTCTAATCCTGGCAGCTCCACTTCCCATCCAGCTCCCTGCTTGTGGCCTGGGAAAGCAGTCGAGGACATTCAAAGCCTTGGGACCCTGCACCCGTGTGGGAGACCCGGAAGAGGTTCCTGGTTGCCGGCTTCGGATTGGCACAGCACCGGCCGTTGCGGCTCTCTTGGGGAGTGAATCATCGGATGGAAGATCTTCCTCTTTGTCTCTCCTCCTCTCTGTATATCTGACTTTCCAATAAACATAAATAAATCTTTTAAAAAAAAGTAATATATGAAATTACCTTCAGACTATGTGCATAAAGTATATCTGAAATGTAAATGATTCTTAAAAAATAAATTATTTTTTGAAAGGCAGAGCATCAGAGAGCAGAAGAGAAATAGAGATTTGTTACATTGCCTGATTCACTCTGCAAATGGCCACAACATCTGGGATTGGATTAGGTGGGAGCCAGGAGACAGCAACTCCACCCAGGCCTCCCACCCAGTTGTCAGGGGTCTACTACTTGCACCGTCTTTCACTGCCTTCCCAGATCACGAGCAGGGAGCTGCACTGCTAGTGGAGCAGCCACAACTCCAAGCGGTGCTCCAATATGCCATACCAGTACTGCAGGTGACCCTAACCCTCACACCACAGGGCCAGCCCCCATTAAGGAATCTCATGTTTCACACTGAGTCCCATCCCAAAGATAGCTCCTTATGGATATGTAAATATTCAAGGAAAAAAAACCCTACAATCGGAGGCACTCTGGTTCCGAGCATTTCATCCAAGGAGTCCTCAACCTGCAGCAAGCATCCCCCATCCTGGGGGCCCACCTCAACCAGAACGTGAAGCAGCAGTCTGGTTTTCCTCTTCTGAGGACAACACTCTCCATAAACCTGTGCTGCATGAGGGAAACCAAGGCACAGCACCAGCCATGCCCAGTGAGTCATACCAATGCTAACTGTCAAGCTCAGGGTCATTCATGAACATCCACGGGCAGCTTGGGGACGCCACCTGAGGCAGAGGCCATCATAGAGCCTGCTGTCCTGCCCGCCAAGGGCGATTTGGCAAAAGCTCTGCAGGTGCAGAATGCACTTCAAGTTTGTTATTTTCATCTGAATGAACATACACAATCTTCTAGTGGAACCCAAAAGGGTCTCATCCGGTAAAAGAAAAGGGAACCTCAACAAGACCTAGGACGCTCTGGGCCAACCTTAGTCCCTGGACACCCTCAAGGCCGATTAGTTAAGTGAACGGAGCAGCAATACGTGTGCACGCCTCTGCCCCCATTTAAATACGTGGGCGTTTGCTTACTAGGGGAAATTCCAGGCCGTGCTTTCAGCTGTTGAGTTTCCCCCAGACCCCCTCTGTTAAAGTGTCACATTACTGGCTCCACCGATGGGCATCCTGCGTCTGGAGCGGCTTGGGCTCTGGGGGAGACCACGATTGGGGGGACGAGCCTGCTTGGGTCGGAGCCGCCCTTCTCTTCAGATGAGGGCCCGGAGTTCAGGGTGGTCGTGCCCGGGGGTGAAGCCCGGCGCCGGACAGGGCCTCAGAGATGTCAAGCTCTGCGTCTGGATGGACACACACTACCAGGCAGCCGCGGGGCCCACGCGGATGCACGGCTCGCTGCCTGTCCTCGCTTGCCTGGACCTTCCGCTCCTCCGCCCTGCAGGTTCCTCTTCGTCCTCCCACTACGGGTTTCCGCTTTCCTCCTCCCCGGTGAGGGGATGCGGCCGGAGCCCGCCCCCGGCTCCCTGTCTGCGGCGCAGCCGGGCCCAGATTGCTACTCACGTCCTTCTTCACTTCAGTCAGGTCCTCCTCGGTGAGGGAAGGCGCGGTGGACTCCATGGCGGAGGAGGGACACCGCGCCGCTTCCGGGTCCGAGAGCTTGCACCTCACGGCTCCGCCCCAAGTGGGGACTTCGGTCTCGGAGTAAACGAGGGAGAAAAGAGGAAGCGGATTGGAGGAGGAGGGGAATTCGGCTACCCCTTGAAAAAAAGAGGGGCTCGGGGTTCAAACCTGGGCGCTTCCGGCTCCGTCTCCGCGAGCCCACGGAGCTGGGGGAGCCGAGCGCCGCGTCAGGGAGCGCGGAGCTCTCAGCGCCGGCCCCGGGCCGGGCGGTCCGCCGACGAGGCCCGCCCCTTCCCGCGGCGGCCAATCGGTGCCAGCCACGCCCCTCTGGGCCCGCCCCGGGGACGTCACGCAGGGCACGCCCCCGGAGGAGTCGGAGAGCGGCCGCTAGGTGGCGTCGCCGGAAGGCAAGGTTTGTGAGAGGGAGTCGGGCATCTAACAGCGGTTCTCCCGGGCCTGGGTCTGTACAGACTGCTGTGGCAGCGGTGCTCCCGGGCCTGGGTCTGTGCAGACTGCTCCCGCAGCGGTGCTCCCGGGCCTCTGTACAGACTGCTGTGGCAGCGGTGCCCCTGGGCCTGGGTCTGTGCAGACTGCTCCCGCAGCGGTGCTCCCGGGCCTGGGTCTGTGCAGACTGCTGTGGCAGCAGTGCTCCCGGGGCTGGGTCTGTGCAGACTGCTCCCGCAGCGGTGCTCCCGGGCCTCTGTACAGACTGCTGTGGCAGAGGTGCTCCCGGGCCTGGGTCTGTGCAGACTGCTCCCGCAGCGGTGCTCCCGGGCCTCTGTACAGACTGCTGTGGCAGCGGTGCTCCCGGGCCTGGGTCTGTACAGACTGCTCACTCTGATACAGCTGAGTCTTCACTTTTCACGACCAAGGGTTCTTCTTCTATTCTCAGACCATCCTGCACAGTTTCAGGTGGCTGTGTTTGCTCATTCAAGTGTGTGAAGTATTTTTGGCCATGAACAGAAGCGTGTATGTACACATAGCATAACTGCAATATTAAAGAAACCTGTGAAACAGAAAAATAAACCACGGTACCAATTTTATTCCTGATGTATTTCATATGTACGTTAAAAAGCATGTTATTCTCATTTTTTAAAAAGTGATTTATTTTTATTTGAAAGAATTTTACAAAGAGAAAAGGAGAGACAGAGAGCTCTTCCATCTGCTGGTTCACTCCCTGAATCACCTCATTGCCCAGAGCTGAGCTGATTTGAAGCCAGGAGCCAACCCCGTGGATGCAGCCTCTGTCCCAGCCTCTGCTGGTTTCCCAGGATAAAAACATGGAGCTGTGCTTAGAGGGGATAGAGAAGGGGCTGGGGAGGGGAAGCATAATGGCTCAATTGGCTAATCCTTACCTTTCAAGAACTGGGATCCCATATGGGAGCTACTTTGTGTCCCAGCTAGCTCCTTTTTTTTTTTTTTTTTTTTAATTGGAAAGGCAACTTTACAAAAGGAAGCAGAGACAAAGATCTTCCACCCACTGGTTAACTCCTCAAGTGCCCGCAATGGCCAGAGGCCAGGAGCCTCTTCCAGGTCTCCCACTCTGGTGCAGGGTGTCAGGACTTTGGGCCATCCTCTACTGCTTTACCAAACCACAAGCAGGGAGCTGGATGGGAAGCAGAGCAGCCAGGATATGAACCAGCGCCCATATGTCATGCTAGCTCATGCAAGGTGAGGATTTTAGCCACTGGTCTACCGTGCCAGGCCCCAAAATAAATAAATGTGAAAAACAAAAACATGGAGCTGGGTCAGAAGTGGAATAGTTAGGACTTGAACTAGCACCCATATGGGATGCTGACTCATCAAGGCAAAGCATTAGCTTGCTGCACCACCTTGCTAGACTCTGTTCTCACTTATTCATCTGGTATGGGAGATGTACTTGACTTCCAGAGATGTTGGAGTATAAAGTTTTTGAAGCTACTTGACACATAGTATGTAGATTAATATTTATTCTCTTAATCTTCAAACATTCATTGAGTCATTTTTAGACATTGTAAGTATTCTCCATTTTATTGGAGGAGTGTGATGACCAGTCAGTCTCGAGTCAAAAATGATAAGAGAACCCAGGACAAACTGGAGAAAGCCACCTAAGGGAAGGGAAAGCAGTGGAATTGGAGAAGAACAATATTGAGGAAGCCAGGCCAATGTAGTTTTGATAACCCAGGGATTCTGGTTTTCACATTAACGTCCAGTCATATCATGAGTATGTTTTTTCCCCATAGTGACACATAGTGCAAGTAGTTTTTTCTGATTACTTAATCTTCTCTTCATCACATTAATGGCTGACTCTTTGATTTAATAAGCTGAATGTTGGTGTGGATGTCATTGCTCCCCCAAAAGTTTCATGTGTTGGTGTTGAAAGTCTGATCCCCGGGGTGGGCATATTCAGAGATGATGGGACCAGGTGGAGAGTGAGAGACTGGTGCAGTGGTAAGGAGTCTGCAAAGTGCAGACAGTGCAATGACTCATCTGGCTCACTCTTCGTTTGCCATTGCTAGTATCCCATATGGATGCGGGTTCGTGTACCAGGTACTCCACATCCAATCCAGCATCTTGTTTGTGATCTAGGAAATCAGCAGAGCATGATCCAACTTTTTAGGACCCTGCACCTGTGTGGCAGACCCTGGGAGGCTCCTGGCTTTGGATTGGCTCAGCTCTGGCCATTGCAGCTCATCTTGGGAGTGAACCAAGTGGATGAAAGCTCTTTTTCTCACTCTGTATAGATCTCTCTGTAGATCTGCCTTCCCAATAAAAATAAATAAATCTTAAAAAAAAAAAAAACCTTAGCGAATCTGTGGGACATGGCCACAGTCAGTCTGAAGGCCGGGTGCCAGTCTCCAGCTCTGCTTTGGAATGCAGCTTCTTGTTAGTATGAGTGCTAGGGTCTGTTGCAGGCAGCAGGGAATGGTTCAGGTTGGATTCCTGTCACCCACAAGGGAGACCTGGCCTGAATTTCCCAGCTCCTGGCTTCAACATAGCCCAGCCCTAAATGTTGAAACATTTGGGAGAGTGAACCTGTGGATAGCAGATATCTCTGTCACAGTCTTTCTTTGCCTTTCATATAAATGAAAAAAAAAAGGCTATATATAGTACAAGGTCTGGGCGGGGGCAGTGTGCCCTCAGAAGGAATGAGATTGTTCTTGGCAGGACATTTGTTAGTTTATGTTCTTTCTGGCTTCAGTTCTCACCAGGGGAGCTCTTCCCCATCCTTACGCTGCTGCCATTGTGATGCCACCCACCATGAGGGCCTCACCAGAGCTGAATTGATGCCAGCACCAAGCCCTGGAACCACTCCTTCTCTGTAAGGTACTGAGCCTTTGGTGTTTCTATATTAACAAAAAATGAACTCATACAGATGCCTATTATGCACTAGAAGCTGTTCTATGTGTTGGGGAGACAACCATGAGCAAAACAGATCAAAATGCACAGATGCCTAAGGAATTTAAGAGAATGTTTGTTTAGGGCAGGAGCAATAGACATTTGACACATTTTATCTAAGTTATTTAGTGCAATAGAAGATGATGAATGACGATGAATGCTAACAGGAAAAGATAAACCCAGGAAGGGGATTCTTTATGGAGTGGTACGGCTTGAAGCAAGGTGCTCAGTGAAGAGGAATTTGATTCAGGGCTTATGGAAAGGGAGGGTGTGAGCACAGGGAGCAGCCAACAAACAGCCTCTGATATGCCCAGGAAATAGATATACTGCTCTGTGCCACCCTGCAGGTTCACTCTGGCTTTGCTCTGAGTCATTTGGTTTTACTTTGAGTCAGACCAGAAGCTACTGGAGAGTGCTGAGCAGCGGAGTTGGATGATCCAATTTATGACTGGAAAAGGAGCACTTACGCTGTTGTGCTGAGGGAGGTGGAGGAGTGGAGACCAGGGGAGGAGCTACTGCAGCAATCCAAGCCCCAGGAGGCAGTGGTTCAGAGCTGGGGCCAGCAGGAAGGGTACCAAGAACATTTTAACAAAAGCAAAGGAGCAGTCTTACTGTGTTTTCAAAGGACGTCTCCAGCTGCTACCAGACAGTAGGTTGTAGAGGAAGCAGAGAGACCAGCTGGGGGCTATCACAGCCAATCAGGGGGAACCCTCTTCATTATCACCTTAGATTGTTTCCAAGTTTTCACAGTTACAGGGAAGTTGTCACAAAGTTTGTCATCTACGTGTTAGCCATCTTTAGTCTTTTTGAATGATCATTTCCTTTAATTTCTCAGGAATGGGAGGACAAAGTGCAAGGCAATGTTTTATGGTGTGTGTGTATTTGCAGATTCTCTTCCAAGGGGCTGTGTTGGGAACGGGCTGTTTCTTTCTTTCTTTCTTTCTTTCTTTCTTTCTTTCTTTCTTTCTTTCTTTCTTTCTTTCTTTCTTTCTTTCTTTCTTTCTTTCTTTCTTTCTTTCTTTCTTTCTTTCTTTCTTTCTTTCTTCCTTCCTTCCTTCCTTCCTTCCTTCCTTCCTTCCTTCCTTCCTTCCTCCCTTCCTCCCTCCCTCCCTCCCTCCCTCCCTCCCTTCCTTCCTTCCTTCCTTTCTTTCTTGATTACATTGCATTATGTGACAGTTTTATAAGCACTGGGATTCCCTCCTCCCCTCCCCAAAACCCACTCCCCCATGGTGAATTCTTCCACCTTGTTGCATTATCACAGTTCAAATTCAGTTGAGATTCTTTCCTTGCAAGCATCTACAAAGCTTAGAGTCCAGCATCTTATTGTCCAGATAAGTTCAACATTTTCTTGGGAAGACCATCTCTGATCTGAAGGTAGAGCCGACAGAGTATCATCCCAATCAATCAAAAGCCTTGACATTACATCAGTAACAATTTACAACGTTATGGAATTAGTTGACATGGTATTGTGTAAGCAGCATGTTAAAAGAGAGAGAGAAAAAAAAGAGTGCAAGTTCTGAACCACATCCTATGACTTCTACATTGACATTACAATTATTAGTTTATATACAACTGGGTTCTATAACCTTAAAATGGCTATAGATTACTATTCAGCTGTCTCATGTCTATTTTAATTTTAGTATTTAGCAGTTTATAGAATTGAAGTATGATTTTGCAGAACCTGGGTGTTTTTCAAGTAGTCTAACTCTATAACTCTAACAAGACATATGTCAACAGTTTAGGTGAACAGTTTAAGGAGGGGTGTGCAGAGAAATCTTCAATACCCTAGTGAGGAGTAACTAATCTTTGTGTCCCACCCAGTGAGTTATAAGTGCATCCCCACTGCCCATTTCCTGTTTCT